CTCCACAGCCATGACCTGTAAGCATAGAACAGACCTTAACTATATGGTTTAGCTGCCACACTGCACTAAAAGGACTCGGGAGGCGCAGAGCAATTGCTGTCTCCTCCCTGGGAGCCTGCGCATTTGTACAAAGCATGGAATGCGAATACATCCACTGAATCGGCAGAGTTATAACAAATGTGCTCCAGTGTTGAGGGACCACATACCAAAAGTGCATCACTGCACTTGCATTGGTTTTATTGGATCTCCACCACCGCCAAAGAATTTGGACAATTTTACTATAGCGGGGGTTCTCGTCAAAAATCCCTAGTTTTCTCCATAGAATTGCATCTTCGAGGAACCCTTGAAAAGAGGGAGTACCTGCTAGACATTTCTGTAGCATAGGTAATGCCTTTCAAGGCTCTCCATAGAATTTTGGTAATTAATAGGTCAGTAATAGAGCATCCGAGGACAATTCAAACTGTTGATGTTGACCTTTAAAGACCTAAACGGCCTCGGCCCAGTATACCTGAAGGAGCGTCTCCACCCCAATCATTCTGCCCGGACGCTGAGGTCCAGCGTCGAGGGCCTTCTGGCAGTTCCCTCACTGCGAGAAGCAAAGCTACAGGGAACCAGGCAGAGGGCCTTCTCGGTAGTGGTGCCCGCCCTGTGGAATGCCCTCCCATCAGATGTCAAAGAGATAAACAACTACTTGACATTTAGAAGACAAACTTCAGGGAAGTTTTTAATGTGTGACATTTTAATGTATTTTTAATCTTTGTTGGAAGCAGCCTAGAGTGGCTGGGGAAACCCAGCCAGATGGGTGGGGTACAAATAATAAATTATTATATTATTATTATCTGCTTTGCATGTCCCAAATTGAGTCCACAGTGGCATCTCTAAGGAAAGACCGAAACCCTGGAGAGCCTGAAACTGCCAGTCAGCATAGGGAATACTGAGCTATATGAACCCAATGGTCTGACTCAGTATAAAGTAGCTTCCAATGTCCTTGGCACTATCACTAATATAGGAGAATCTTTACTTTGATGTTTCTGGCATGTGCTGAAGAGACAAGCCACTTTGGTGCATAGAGAAAATTTATCACTGACGCTCCAATTGTTATAGAAGAATACTGGAGAGTAAGGGGTTTCTTTGAAGTTTCCACAGCATGCCAGAGAAGCAGCCCAGTTCTGCCTAAATCTTAAAAGTTCAGCTTGAAAGGCTGCTTGCCTCATTGGCAGCACAGTGGTGGAATCATTGTAGATGGGGGTTTTTTTCCCCATTTTATCCTTGGACCATGCCTGGCCAAGAGAGGGACTTGGCCAAATCCATCCATGACTTGGTGTTACAGAGATTTGAAGACAGATCTCCCCAGTCCAAGTCAGACACTCTGGGCTGTTGCCAATACTAGCCCTACTCAGTAGACCCATTGAAATTAATGAGCATGACTAACTTAGGTCCATTAATTTCAATGGATCTACTAGTAGACCTAGGGCTTTCCCAGCATCCTTGCCTTATCTGTTGAGAAGCAGGAGCATGAGAGAGTATACCTTACACCCAGCCTACAAAATCTTCCCCCACAGCACACCTTGCTTCTTCTTTGTAGTGGGTTGGTCATTATGGCAAGGGGGGTGATTTTGTGATTGGAGGGAGACTTGTCATTCTGGATGCAGACAGAGAGTCTTGAATGCCTGTGTTCCTGAATAAAACAGGGTTGGGGCACATGGGGGCATGTGGAGGGCAGTGAGTTTTACCATTCTGGCTGCATATATTTAGATATAGATATCAATATTCTTGATTTTAAAATGGTTGCTACCCAACTCTGAGCAGGAGCAATTTATAAATCAATCAAATCAAATCAATTATATTTTATTTTATTTTTGCACAGGAACCATGAATTTTCCCTTCTTCCTTTGATTTTCATATATTTAATAATTTACCCCCTAATCCTCTATAAATATTTCTGAAAGCAGCTCTTACTGCAAGGTCCAAATATGGAAGAGATCGAACATTAACCATCCATCAGTCGATGACAGGATGTCGCCCAAATGCCTCTTCTGCTTCTAAGATGGCAGGAAGGTTGCGGGGAGGCAGGCTTGCAGACATGGGTCTGCCACCTTGGCACAATTTAGGAGGATAGCAAAAAAAAATTCAGGCCCCGCATGGCTCGAGGGACCTATTCTGGCTGAGACACAGGCCTTCCTGAGAGTCTGAGCTTTACCCCTGATGTGAGAGGCAAACACCAGCTGTTTAATAGTGCAGGCCCAAACCCAGGTCTTATGAGCACTGGTGGAGGAAGAGGAATGGGGGGGGAGCGTACTGCAGCGCTATCCCAGTAGGGTGCCATCACGGCTGGGCCCCCACCCACGCTGCTGTCCGTCCGCCCCCCCCCCCCCGGTGCCAGAGCATGAAGCTCCACCACTGCTTATGAACCTGAGTTCTCAAAGGTGATACCGGCAGGTTGGCAGAAGTGCAGCAAGGTACCCAGCAGAACCGAATACTGGCCACTGTGAGAACAGGATGCTGGACCAGATGGGCCTTTGGCCGGATCCAGCATGCCAACGTTCTTAATGCCTAGTGGTCAAAGTGTAGAGTCTGATGAAGAAGGAGGTTGAGCCAGCACCCAGACTCCTCAGGTACATGACTTTATAGTTTTTTTCAGTGCACATATGTCCATCATGCAACCCTTACCTCATCCTTAAGAACAAGAGAGAGAGCTGCAGCCCCTGCTCTCCTTTGCTTCTGGGACCTGGGGTTTTATTTACCATATTTTTCCATGCATAACTATATTTTTTCCTAAATTTTTGAAGTTTAAAATAAGGGGTCGTCTTATACATGGATAGTGCATAGTGCATTTTCTTAATTTTGAGTCCCAAAAAATAGGGGGCGTCTTATACACAGAAAAATATGTTTTTTTCCCAAAATACCATGTGGTTCTAATAAAACCTCTAAGCGGTTTACCAAAACACAAAAACAAAAGCCCGCCCCCTAATTTTATTACTAAAAGACAGTTAAAATCAAAAGAGATGATAACACACGTCAGCGTTCAACATGTCTAGACATGTCTAGACAAACATTTGAAGCAAGCACCAAAAAGAGCCCGGCAAAGTTGTCTGCTTGGTGTCAGCAGGCAGGGAGTTCCAAAGTGCAGGTGCTGCCATGTTAGCAAGATTGGCTTCTTGCAAATGGGGAACGAATATTGTGAGGCATCTGTCATGGTGCCAGTTCCACCGATGAGAGTGGTTGAAGTGGGCATTGCATGGGGTCAGGCGATCCTGCAAGTATGACCATTTGGCCAGTAAGGAGGCTAAACTCTAATTAGGCTCTTATGTGGGTCCTTGACAGGGCCACTGAGGCCATGTAGCCACTGTGCATTCTTATGGCACCTTTACTAGGATACTTTCACTGCTCCACTGACCTTTGAGAGAAGACCCACGCATTGCCAGTGCTCGCAGCACAGCCTGTCCATTCGCTCTGGAACCATTTTGTCTGCACAGGCAGCTTTTTGAAGCGGGTTTTGTTTCCATATATTTGAAACGACAAGCCCGAAGAACACTTTGTGCCAATAGGGCGTGATGAACGTATCAACTTTCAAATGCCCAAAATGAGGGGTGCTAAAAAACTGTAGCATGACTTGAGACTTCAAAAGATATTTTGGTTCAATTAATATAATTTAGTTTTGCTTGGCAAGTAAAATGTGTGTAAAATTGCACAGAATTCATACAAAAATGGTAGTATTATTTTTAGCATTGCCTGACATTTTCAGAAGGTAAAATTAAAATTATTTTGTTTTCAGAAAGCAGTTTATATGCTTCTTCATCCAATGTAGACTTACCAAACTAAATGTTGTCCAATCACGAAAATAATAGATTTGAATTTCACACACCCGAAAGCATATTTTTAAGGCCCCCTCGCCGAAGAAATTTGCAAAAATTAAGTTTCACCCCAGTAAAATGAAATGCCCTATTGTGTCAGTCACCCTCCTGTGTGGATCAAATTGTGTTTGCAGTCTGCCTTTGGAAGTGGGGGGGTGGGGCTTTGCGACGGTGTGCAAAATGAGCAGGTGTGCACTTGTGTGCAAGCTTTTCTGTTTTGAGGAGCTAAACAGATGCTGGCCTTTAAAAATTAATAAGTTTGAACTGTTTCAAGTGTCAGAAAGAGCAGAGGAGAAATATAACCCTTTAGCAACCTATTAACAACGGGAGCATCGACCTGGGGAAATTCCTTTGCCCTTGATCCCCCAGTTCTTCAGACCTTTTCCTCACCCCCAAACACACACGGCTCGACCCCTTGGCATGATGTGCCGTTGCTGCTGATCCTGTTAAATTCGGGTATGAATGGATTTTTGCCTGCTAGCCACACTAACCTTCCCCATCTACCCCTCGACCATGGCAATATCTGGTGTAAAATGAGGCTTATCTGCCAGTGCAGTGCGTGGGTTTCCTCTTGGAGCAGGGTTGGGATCTTTCTGGCCAATGAAAGCAGCACTTTCCCTATAAGTTAAATTTGCATCCTGTCTTTTTCAGCCCACCCAAAGCAGCTGATGATTTAAATCAGTGCTTCTTAAACTTGGGTCCCCATCTGTTGTTGGACTACAACTCCCATCATCCCTGACCACTGGTCCTACTATCAAGGGACAATGGGAGTTGTAGTCCAATACCAGCTGGGGACCCAGGTTTGAGAAGCACTGATTTAAATGAGCAGTAGCTAAAAGTGAATATCAGCAGCTGAGTTATACCGTCCGAGTCAGGCTATGGGGCTATCTGGTTCAGTGCTGCCTGCACTGACTGGCAGCAGCTCTCCAGCATTTCAGACGAGGAATACCTAGAAATGCCGCAGGGAATTAAAACTGTTGCCAGCTGCACACCAAGCAGGATCCCTAGCATGTCCCTTCCCTTAAAACATAGGAAGCTGCTATATCCTGCATCAGCATTTTGCCCCATCTAGCTCATTGCTGACTATACTGCCTGGCAGGGACTCTCCAGGGCTTCAGGCAGAAAGTCTTTCCCAGCCCTACCTGAAGATGCCACTGGGGAATTAACCTGGGGCCTTCTAAGTGCCAAGCAGATGCTCTGCCACTGAGCTATGGGATTCCTTCCTTGGTGAAAATGGCCCACCACATGAATTTGAACAGTGCTGTCTGGCAGTGCCTGTGAATCAGCAATTTGTGGGGCTCCCTGTCCTCCCTGCAGCTACTTCCTCTCGTGCCTTCCGTCAAGCAGAAATTCTTGCCACACTTCAGTTGGCGCCAGCGGTTGGCATGTCCTGTGGGGGTCTCTGTGTGGCGTGACGGATGGCTCTTCTTCTTGGCAGAAGGCACTCTCCTTAATTAGCTCTTCAGCTGCCCTCATATCCCCAGGGCACAGTGGTGGTGCACCACACTCGGAGTGGGCAAAAAACAAATATTTCCAAACAGGTCTGGCAGCCACCCCTGAATTAGACATGAGAGAAGAGGGTGAGATGAGCGTGGTGGCATGAGGAACCTGTGGCAGCAAGGCAAGGATTTCAGACTCCATCTGCACCATACATTTAATGCACTTGAGTCATGGCTTACCCCAAAGAGTTCTCAGCAAAGAACTGTAGTTGTTTAAGGGTGTTGTTTAAGAGATCTAACATCTCTTAAACCCCCATTCCTCTTCCAGAGCTAGTTGTCAGAGTTCCCTGGGAAGAGGGATTGATTGCTTAAATTCACACTGAATGGTAGCTCTGCGAAGGGAATAGGGGTTTCCTAACAACTCTCAACCCATGGGACGCGGGTGGCACTGTGGGTTAAACCACAGAGCCTAGGACTTGCCGATCAGAAGGTTGGCGGTTCAAATCCCTGCGACGGGGTGAGCTCCCATTGCTCGGTCCCAGCTTCTGCCAACCTAGCAGTTCGAAAGCACCTCAAAGTGCAAGTAGATAAATAGGTACTGCTCTGGCAGGAAGGTAAACGGCATTTCCGTGTGCTGCTCTGGTTCGCCAGAAGCAGCTTAGTCATGCTGGCCACATGACCCAGAAGCTGTACTCCGGCTCCCTCGGCCAATAAAGCGAGATGAGCACCGCAACCCCAGAGTCGGTCAAGACTGGACCTAATGGTCAGGGGTCCCTTTACCTTTTAACAACTCTCAACACCCTTAAAAAATGACGTTTCTCAGGAGTCTTTGGGGGAAGCCATGACTGCTTCAAGTGGCATGGTGCTGTTGCATATGTCAGGTGCAAATGTGGCCTCAGTCTCTTATGGGAGAGCAAGGTAGGCGGAAAAGGAGCAGGAGTCAGGAGTGCAGAGGCAGGACCCAGAAGCACTTCTAGCAAGGCGGCTTCAGCAAATGTCAACAACCAGAGAGGCGAGTGTATGGATAGCTAAGGGGAATAGGGAAGGGCTCGTCAACCTTCTTAGGCCTAGGGGCACATTTGGAGCAAGTGCTGTGGGAAGAGAGAAAGTGCATGCACATGCTCACATACAATTTGCTTTTCCAAGGGATTTGGGTAAAAACTGGATCCAGTAGAATTAATCTGAGCAGCTGGTATGGCTCAAGTAGAGCATGAGACTTAATCTCAGGATCGTGGGTTTGAGCCCCACATTGGGCAAAAATATTCCGGCACTGCAGGGAGTTGAACTAGATTACCCTCGTGCTCTCTTCCAACTCTAACAATTCTATAATTCTGTGAGCCTTGAAGTACATATACAGCAGAAAGAGAAAGTGGGAAAGAGTGTCTCTCTTCCAACTTTCTCCTTCAGCTCTTTTCAAGGGAGAAAAGGGTAACCACTTTATACCACCAAGGAGACAATGGGTGGAGGAGGGCCTCAGAGGCTGGGGAAGATCCAGTGGTGCTTAATTTTTTTGTTTAATTGCTTAGTTTAATTGCTCCTGACAGCTGGTTTAGGCTGCCTCTTCTGGACTGAGGAAATGACGTAGAAATGAGAGCGATGATCATTTGTTCAAGACTGATACCTCCTGAGGCTCTGCCACCCATGTGGATTGGTGGGGTGCAGAGTTCTCATATGAAATGTGGGGGTCTGATGGGCCAAAACAGCACCCTCAATGCCCTTAGCGGTGTTGGAAAGGAAATAAGGCATACTGGAATGCCTGTTTCTCCACTATTTAGACTGCCATTAGCAGAAACCTTCTGGGAGTCGGGGCCCAATCCAGCCCAGATCAAACACCGGGGTTTATTAAGTCCTTTGTTGGCAATGAGCAAGAGTTAAACATGTGCTTAACCCCCCACCCTGCCAATTGTAACGAAGGGTGCCTGTGGTCATGCCTCATACCTCTTACTATGGTGTCCTTGGAACAGAAAGAGGGAAGACCATAAATTGAACATGCTGTTATTATCATCACATCTCCCGAGTGCAATCTAGATCTTTCCAATTAAGATGTGTTTCTGCCAGAGGTTTAACCTGAGTTTAAAACTTCCATGGGTTTTCTCCCTCTGGGGCTGTAGTTGTAGACGGTGGCAGAGTTATCCTCTCCCTTGCATCCTCAGTGCCCTGGCAGAGCGAGGGCTCCCTGGAGTTCCTTGGATCGAGACTTGATAGGATTTAAAACCAGGTGAAGATGGTTGGTGATGCAGACTAGGTTGGGAAAAGAGCCTGTTTCGCAACCCTCGTAAATCCTTTGTGCCCTTTTGGAATCTGAACAAAAAAGAACTTGGTTTACTCTTTGTTCCCAAGGCCAAAATTGCTATTTTGTTTTTGTTTTTCTAAAGTTCATCATCTCCGCCACTGCTCAGGTTTCTCAATCACCTGCCTTGGCGTATTCCTGATTCCTTGCCGTTCTTTCTCCTCCCCTTCTTTCCTCCCCTGGGAGAGGCATGTCTGCTTCTGGCATCTGTCCCCTTTTCTGCAAATGCGTGGCAAAGAAGCGATTTAAATTTTTTAGCAATGCCCCTCTCTTCTGTCAATTACGCCCCCCCTTTCCATCTCTTCAAGGCCTTCTGCCTCTGCAATTGACCGCCTCTTCCTGTGTGCTTTGCAAATGCCATCTTCCCTGCTGCTGCTGCCACTCCTCTCTTTTGCCATCTTCCACTCCAAAAAGCCTGTCCTTAACTCTCTCTCTCTTTCCTCTTTCCTGCCATTCCTCCCCTGGGCTGCAGCCTCGGTTTCCCCTTCAATTCATGGCTCCTCTTTGATGCCCGCCCCAAGAGGCTCTTGCAAGGAATATAGTGCCGTGTGGCATTTGGAACCTCAGAGCAGATGGCGATTTAGCTTTGGATGTTTCCCCATCGGAGTCCCCTTTCAAATTACTCTGCAATATGCTCTGTACAATGCACCCTCCTGGTTGCTGGTTTCTGCAATCCCTTGTTGTGGTGCTGACTGTTACGCCCTTGCTCCCCGGCATATCATGGACTGCAGTAGTCCAGCCAAGCTTTCCTTATAGCAGACAGTCAGGCCTCTGTCTCTTGCTCTCTGGGGGAAGGGTTGTAGCTCAGTAACAGAGCATGTGCTTTGCAAGCAGAAGGTCCCAGGTTTTAACCCAGGCAAGGCTGGGGTTGCACTCTGCCTGAAACCCTGGAGAGCTGTTGCCACTCAGTGTAGGTGTTACTGAGTAAGATAAACCCAACAGTCGTGACGCTGTGTATAATGAAGTTTTCTGAGTTCTGTTTCTTCCCTCTCTGCTGCTGCTTCCCCTTTCTCTGCTTCTCAAAACCAGAGTCTACAATTACCTATTTCATATAGCACATGCAGAAAAGCATTGGGGACGGGGAGGACAGAAAGCTGCTGTATACTGAGTTGTACCAATGATCTATCTAGCTCAGTAATGCCTACACTGACAGGCAGAGGCTCTCCAGGGTTTCAGGCAGGGAGTCTGTCCCACCCCTACCTGGAGGTGCTGTGAACTGGACATAAGAAAAAGCCTCCTGGATCAGGGCAGTGGCCCATTTAGTCCAGCATCCTGTGTTCACCTTTGACCTTTTGCATATAAAGAGATGTGGCCATTTGCAGAAACAGAGGAGGCAGGAGTCTCTCTCAGCCTTACCTGGAGGTGCTTTTGGCAATTTAACCTGAGACCTTCTGCATGCCAAGCAGGCACTTTAACCACTGGGCTATGGCTGGGTTTAGCGTTCCAGCGGAGATGCTAGCTAGCCCCACAATTTAATTAACATGAGTGTGGATCTTCTAGCCATTTCGTATAAACATTCTGTAGGTGCAAAGTGCTTCCGCAGAGAGAGCCGTTCACTGCAGGAAGCCAGCTTTAAAATTTTGCACCATTCAAGCCTCCAGATAGTTACTGAGGATACACACAGCCCAATATAGAAACCTTGCTGTGGTTTCTGCAACGTCGCACCTTGCCCAGACAGTGGCTACAGCTGAGTGCATTCTGTGGGTTTGCCATGCAAATGCAGAATCTACTGTTACAAAATCTCATATCCTGCTCTGTATGGTGGCAAGTCACATGTCCTAGTGGGAAGCCCACATGCAGGACATGAGAGTAGTTGCTCTCTCCTGCTGTCGATCCTGGTATTCTGGCCTGGTTCACGTATAATGCTAAGCCATGCGTTGCAAACTGTGGTTTAATTGGACCATCCAAACCCAGCCCACAAACAACCCTTGGTAACAAACCAGAGTTTGCTGTTGGTTTGTAAACCTTGTTCTGTGAACCCGGAGGGACCATATAGACATAATGACTTCCCATTTCATGTCAGACACTCATGCAGGTAGCTCAACGCATAACATAGCAGCACCGCATGCCAGGCTCCAAGAAGTGTGAACCCAACTTGAAATTAGCACCTGACTAACCAAGGAAGGCAGGGGCGGGGTTGAATTTATTTTTTTTGAAAATTGCTCTCATGATATTCACACTTCCCTTTTCCCTCTTTCCTTCTTTCTTTCTTTCTTTCTTTCTTTCTCACATTCAGGTTTTCCGGAAGCCAGCACTGCGGACACATTCACTGTGCATACCAATACCGAGAACATTATCACTGCCTTGACCCGGAGTGTAACTATCAGGTAAAAACCAAATGAAAATAAATCATTGGCGGGGGGGATCCTTAAATAGTACGGTGGGGCAAAGTTCAATCCCAGGCTTTGAAACAGCAAGGGTTTGTTGGGGAGAGGGGAGGAGCTTTGTTTGAGTCTTTTGAGCGCCACACTGGCTGCGAGCTAAATAGACCAGTGGTCTGACTCAGCAAAAGGTAGCAACAGTGAGATCATCTGCTTGGGAAGGGCCAGAGCTCAGTGGCAGAACACATTCAGAAGGTTCAGTCCCTGGCATCTACCAGCGATAAGATCTCAATGGTAGGTGATAGGGAAGGCCTCGTTCTACTCGAGACCCTGGGGAGCAGCTGCCAGTCAGAGTAGACTGGCCTTCCCCCAGCTTGGTGCCCTGCAGATGATCATTGCCCATGCAGTAGCCAATGTGCTGTGAGTCACAATAGCTGGCTGTAACATCGCCTCCTACAGGAGCGATTTTCCCATCGGCACAAGGATCGTTTCTCAAGTCTTGCATTATTAATATAGCATCTACGTGGTTGTGCATACACAATACATTTGAAGCATGTTCGTTCATGCCAAAGAATCCTGGGAACTGTAGTTTGTTGCGGGCACTGGGAACTGTAGCTCTCTGTGGAGTAAAGTACCGTTTGCAGGATTCTTGGGACGAAGTGGGAGTGTGCTTGAAATGTGCTATAAATTCACAGTATGTATGCAGCCTGTGAAGCCGCCCCAGATTTGTTTTCTACTAGGAACCTGGCACAGTAGATAGCTGTACCATTGAGATCAAAGCCTACTGTGCCCCAGGAACACTTTGAGATTTGGATGGTGGATCACAGGATTCAGCCAGAGGAACTGAATCCTGGAATTTGTTCATGCAACCATTAGCGTCCCTGCAAATCATTTTTGAAGGTTCTGCACATGACAATACCCTGCCGATGACCAGCTGGTTAGATACAGCCACTGCCCCGTGGAGGATTAGAAGGATAAATACGTGTCAGAGGCACTCACAAAACCAGTCACTGCACCCGCACATACAAATTGGGGTGTTTTCCCCATATAACTCCCCCATAGGCCAGCAGAGGGGGGAAAACCTTCATCCCTTCAGATGTTGCTGGACTCCAGCTCCCATCAGTCCCAGTCAGCGTGGCCAGGGGTCGGGGTTGGTGATGGGAGCTGTAGTCCAGCAACATCTGGAGGGCTAAAGGTTCTTCACCTCTGGCATCAGCTAATGGTCTGCAGACACACAACCTTTTTTCCCTAAAGGGCAGCCTCGTCATCGGACCTCAATTCCAGTGGCATCATCCTATAAGCAGGCAGCAATCAGCTTCCTGTGATAGCGCAAGACGAGTAGAAACCTTAAGCCAGCAGACACCATTTGAAGCACAGGCTTCCCCTGGCTTCCCCTGGAGGAGCTGCGCTGTCAAGCAGACGGGGGCGGGTGACAAATCAGGCTCAGCCTAGCTGGCCAAGTGACGCCTCAGCAGCTACTGATGCAAAGCAACCATTGAGACAAGCAGCGGTCCTGAGATTGCGGTTTAGTTTCGGGAAGAGATGGTTGGATGCTGGGAGGAAGGGGCAGAAGCCAGGCTGCAATTGCTGGGAGAGGTGCCAGGGCAAGATTGTCAAGCCAGCTTCCCAGTCACATGCTGTGTTT